TTCAGCCTTTTGTGGACATACCGTTACGGAGTGTTACTGTGCATATCTGGGGCACCGTTTGCAAAAACGTTCAGTAGACTTTGCAGCTTCTGCCAGCTTAAGTCTTTCCTTCACTCTTCATTTTGGTTTGGTACCATGACTTGGTCTAATCATCAGGCTGTGACAGAAATGTGTTGTCCTTTGAGCCTCTTTCTCAACTTTTGGAATTCTGATGTGTGTGTGTGTGTGTGTGTGTGTGTGTGTGTGTAAATAAGTCATGTTTAGTCTTCTGGAAGAAGACAGTGATGAGGGTCCCCACTTGACCCAGCTAAAGTCATTTTGCACCAACCAATGAAGCCAGTCTGCCACCTGGGTGAGTTCATTTGAGATCAAGCACACCCATCCGATGCCAGATCTGCTGACCTGAGAATCGAGTGCTTACTTTTTGAAATGTTTTGTGAGGCATCATATCCTAGCAGATTCATGAACAGCTCTATACTGACAAGCCCATTCTGAGGATCTTATTACACTCATTTCTGAGTAGAAGAAACACTAACTAGAAGTGTTCACCATCACTATCTGGAAATACGGGAAAAACAGAGTGTGCTCAGGTCAGGGTAACAAGAAAGGTGGTATAAACAAACTTTCTGGATAAAATGTTAAGAATGTCCTATTTTGTCTGGTTGGTCTTGAACCCCTGGGCTCTCCTTCCTCAACTTCCTGGGTGAGTAGATGAGGTTACAAGCATCAGCTGTGGTGGTCCACCTTTAAGGACTTCAGGATGAGCAGTGTAGCTAGAACTACTTCCAGATAGAATAGGGCCATGCATAAATAGACTTATCTTGCTGTCCTAGGATGTTGGCTTCCATTTCCTCCTTAACAATGAATAAGAGGACTAGGAGACATGATTCCTGCATTCTTGTGGGTTTGGAGAACTGGTGTGATTTTCACAGCCAGCTGTGACACTGAGGGCGGCACACCTGTCCTAGTGCACAGCTGGATTGCTCTTTCAGGAAATGAGAAACTAGGATGAATCTTCTATATTTTTTTCCTTTATACCCAGCGTCTGCTTGTTCTGTATCATCTTTCCTGGGAATGACAACCACAAAACAGAAAAATAAAAGTCCTTTTTAAAAGTTAAAGAAGCTTAACTTTAAAAGTGAAGAATGTTGTGGGAATATGACCTTGGCTTCTATCACTTGAGGTTTGACATTATTTAAAAAAAAAGGGGGGGGTTGGAATAAAGAATTTGGAACTTCATGGAGGATGAAGTAATTGGCTACAATTCTTCCTTAAAGTGTTGTGGTCAGTCGTATTGAAGCTTCTTGGTAGGCAGTGTGAATTGTCTTCCATGGACTTTGGCTTAACATTTTCCTTGGATGCATGACTTATTTTGACCAGCTTGTAGAGGCAGGAGTTACAAAGAGGTAGACTTGTCACTTCAAATGATATGTCTTGTCTTCATTTATTCCCTTGAATCTTTAACACCTTGCTAACAACATGTCCTATTTGGCCAAATGATCCCAAGGGAGAGGAGAAATGGTAGAGCCACCTGCCGCATACAATAGAACCTTAGAGCCAGCCCCCACACATATGTCTGTGAAATTAATGCTTCCTGTTAGCTGTCCCCGAGGCTGCAATAATGAGTCTTATCCATCAGTAGTTGAGGAACACACTTCTGAGACTAAAATTAGCATAAGGAGTACCAGCATCCCAGAAGTCTCAGATTCCTCAAGGACCATTTTTGAAAGCAAGAAGAAGCTGTGAAATGAGGAGTTCTCTGGGTGTGGGGGTGCTCCGTTATTGGGAAGTTGTTCCTGGTCTCTTCAGCAGCAATCACACTTTTACTCATAGTGACTATGCTGTAAAGAATTTGGAGGAAGGTTTGTGGTTCATTTCTGTTGTGTTTCAACAGTCAGGGAGGGTGTGCATGAGTGCATAGAAAAGGAATTAGAAAGAAGAGAGGCTGTAGGGAAGTTTGGAGGCCTCATTAAAGTGTTGGCCTTGTACTCAAACCCTTGTGCACTTGGCATTCAACCTGGTCCTGCTCCCACTGACCTCTTAGTTCTCCCCCATTCCTGGGCATCCAGTTCAAGTTATTACACATGTGGATTTGAGTTCGGATGCAACCTGCTGAAGCCTCCAGGTTCTTGTGTTTCAGGACAAAGATTTGTATCAGGGACACAGGCTGAAGCAGCAAAGACAGAGTTTGTTAAGAGAGAGAAAGACTTTCTTGGGAAGGGGAATGGGCTAGCCAGCTGAAGAAATACATACTCTCAAAAATCTTTATGGGTCGTTTATGTAGTGTCTGCCTCTCTTGCTTGTACATCTTGTGAGTACTCTGTTGTAGGTAACTTTCCTAGTTCTTCTTTGCTAATTGACTTCTTTCATGTTGGTCTTGATGAAACTTTCTCCAGTTTCCAATTATCAACGTGCAATATTTATCTTCTGTTTGCATGTCCTTCCTAGCCTATGCACAACAATCCATCTCTAAATCCTTAAAAAAATTTTTCTTTATTTTACATTCTAACCTCAGTTTCCCTCCCAACCCTCCTCCCTCCTCTTTCTCCTCCCCTTCAGCCCACTCTCCATCCACTCTTCCCAAAGGACAAGGGTTCTCATTGGGAGTCAACAAAGTCTGGCATATTAAATTGGGGCAGGACCTCTGCATTAAGGCTGAGCATGGCATCCCACCATAGGGAATGGGCTTCAACAAGCTATAGCTCATGCACCAGGGATAGATTCCGGTCCTACTGCCAAGGGCCCCTCAGATGGTCCAAGCTTCACCACTATCTCCTGCAGGTGGAAGGCCTAGCTTGTTCTCATGGAGGCTCTACAGCTGTGGGTCTAGAGTTCATGGGTTACCACGCAACTCTAAATCTTTAATCTGGGTGTAAGGTATATAACGCCTTAACATTCTCCTTGACTTTCCAGGCAGATTTATAGTTTTCCACGTGCTCATAGAGTGCGGAACTCACTGCTCTCACCAAGCCTGTCTTTAAAGCTGAGAGCCAGGAGAAGACTGAGGGCACGCGAAAGCACGGCCCTGCCCCTACCTGCCCCCTTCCTTGCCCCCGCCAGCAGGACATAATTTTCAAATAAGAATGGGTTTCACTTGTCTTTCTGCTGTAAACCCCTGAAAACCTGGCTGTACAGAGTCTCATAGCACTCCAGGGCCTGCGTTTTCATTCATTCAATCATCATCTGGTAACTGAGTCTTACTGAGTCAACAAAGCTTCCCGTGCCAAGGCTGCTGCCCATTCTTTGACATTTCCTGGTACCACTCCTTTGCTTGCTGAGATCTTCTAGCATATTGGTCTTTCCTCAGGTTTTTGCATCCTTCACGATCGCTCTCACGTGAGGACTTTCACAATCTCTTGGGTTCTAATTCCTCCCCAGTGCTCTCTTCTTCGGTCTCCCTCGGGTCTCAGTTTAACTTTCCTTTGAGAATACTGTCTTTAGCGTTCACTCTGGGGTACCATGCTGCTTTTTGCCTCTATAGCTTCCAGTCTCCGTTCTCTGCCTGTCAATACTTCTTTTATCTCCACATTCTCTCTCCTCTCTCTCTCTCTCTCTCTCTCTCTCTCTCTCTCTCTCTCTCCCCTTCCCTTCCTTTCCTTTTTTATATATCGCTTAATTATTGATTTCTCTCTCTCTCTCTTTCTCCCCCTTCCCTCCCTTTCCTTTTTATATATCGCTTAATTATTGATTTCTTCTCTCTCTCTCTCTCTCTCTCTCTCTCTCTCTCTCTCTCTCTCTCCTTTTTGCTGAAAACCAATTTGAGGCCAGTGTGAGCTCATGAGGCAACAGGTATAATCACGTGGCCTAATTAGTGACCAAAGGTGCAGACGCTAATGAAATGAATGGGATTGAAGGTGCCTGAAGACCCAGGGCGCTAATGTCCTCCTGATTCCTCTTTGGAAAGCTGATCCAATTGACACAGGCACACTTCCACATACACACCATTCACACACATCCCAAACAAACACACCCATTCACACCCTACGTTTGTGCAGGCCTCAGAGTTTTTTTTTTTTATACACCAAATAATTATCTTAACATCTTTGAAGACACCTGTGTGTCTATCAAACTTGAACTACCAAACAGTGATTTTTCTTTCCAAGCCAAAGTCATATTCTGCTCAATACCCATGGTCTGGATGCTGTGTCACTAAGTAAATTTCTTATGGCTTTGCCACATTAGGCCCAGTATACTACGGATACTTCATTAGACTTACAAAGAACACTTAGATCTCTGACTCCAGCCACTCTTAGTGTTTACCTGGATCTCTGTCTAAAGCTAGTGGTAGAAAAAGGAGCGGCGTGTAATTCAGTTTAGTTGAGAAATTATTAGACTGTCTCCAATAGAGAAAGCAAGAGGGGCAATCCACAGCTAACCTCCCTGGGGCTGCTTAGGGGGCAAGGGGCCAGGGAGTGCTTCGCACAGATTAAACATATCCAAAGTTGCCCAACTTCCAGGAGGATCTAATTAGCAAACACTTTCAAAGGGACCGAGCTGACTTCTGAGACAAAGTCTGCCATAGCCAGCCAAGGTGGGCAAGTAAATATTTAAAGGGCATGCCTGTGTGGGTGGAGGGAAGAAAGAGAAGACCAGGAAGAGATGGGTGCTAACTCTGGAGCCCTGTTGTGTAATTGCCCTTGACCTAACCCTTTTCACTGTTCACACAAGCTTCTGTGGAACTTAGCTCATCAGACACTCAACCCGCCGGTCTCCACCAAGAAACACGATCCTGATGGACTTTACCTTACTACCATGGTTAGCACCACAATCGTTTAGGATATTAGGCTTCTGGAAGGGCTGTTTAAGGGCCTAGAATGGGACACTGTTAATTGGCAAACTCTTGTTAATATGCAAGCAGCTATTAAAGTTGGTCTTTACCCCAGCAATGATGTCATCTCCTGGACTGACTCCCTGGGGGTGGCATTTCAGGCTACACCAGGGCTTGTCAGCTGCACCCCTACAGAAGGACAGTCTCATCTAAGGGCTTTTTTTTTTTTCAGATTCTTCGTGCATTTTCAGTGGCTTGTGGGCCAATTATCACACAGCTCCTGCACCACACTGTGCTGGAACAGCAATTAACAAGACCTCCTGGGTCTCAAAAAGGCTTTGGAAGAATCAAAGCACATGTGGACAAATGACCTATAATCAAATGTACCTCCACCATTGGTCCTCTGGCTGGCCTGCAGTACAAAGACTTTCAGCTCTGGATTTAAAAACCTGGGACTTCTATTTGGATTTTGAAGTTTAGCTACCTGAGGAAATTTTAATAGGAGAGCAATGAAAACTTTTTTATTTTATTTTATTTATTTTGTTTGACTTGTTTTTTAGAGGATAAGTCCATGCATATGTTTGTGTATTGTGTGTGTGTGTGGGGGGTGTAAGGCAAAAGACAACTTGCAAAAGTAAGTTTTCTCTTTCCACCGTATGGGTCCTGGAGATTGAGCTCACGTTGTGAAGTTTGGCAATGAGCGCCTTTGCCAACTGAGCCAATTTTGCCAGACTATGAGCGAGCTTCTTATGTCTTATTTTGTATGTCAAAGGAGAGCCATGAAATAATGAGAGAGTAAAGAATCCCATGTTCTGAGCACCCACTGTATCCCAGGCATCTATTCATTGTCTCATTTACCTGCACAGCAAGTCTGCACACCAGGCATCGTTACCCTCCACACATCAAACCAAGGCTTCCGGACATCTGCTAGACTGCACACAATCCAGTCCTGTTTATCTCTGGATGGTTCTAGAATGCAACTTCTCTCCATAAAACGGGACTGTAGTTCAGGGCCTTTGTATCACACTCTGGTTCATAGAGCTGTGATGGAAGTCCAGCCATCTCTTGGAAAATTCTGACTCAGAAAGGATGCAAAACATTTAAGGAATCCAAATGATAAGACTCTGGTCTTTTGGTTCTTCCAGAGGTGGGAGTTAGGCATTTTTAGCCGATGGTGAAGCTCTGGGTTTTATTTCCAACTGTGTGATCTTGTATGTTGAGAATGACTGTAACGGTGTAATACTAAGGCCTTCTGACTTAGGTGAGGGCTTTCTAGCATCTTCTAGAGTCTGAGGATTGGTAATACAGAGAAGAGAAAGGGAAAAGACAGAGCAGTCTTGTTAAAAATACTAGTTTCATTTATTTGCAGTCTCTATATGAGAAAAAAAAAAGAACAAACAAATTTTGTTCCTCAGCCTATAACACAGGTTATATATAGTGCATCCTAAGTGAGCAGGCAGGTTTCCATTCCTCTGGTGGAGAGACATTGGCTATCATCTGCCCTGCTATGGACTGTTGCCATGCAGAGCCTCAGCACACATTCCCTGAGATCTCTTAGGACCACGTCTTTATTCTTTCCTCTGTGAGTTCCCTCAGAGAAATGAAATGATGGAAAGCAGAAAGCTTTTGTAATCAGTTTACCTGGAGCCAAGCCTGAGCTTCCGATATTTTCTCTATGTGCTAACTGGGTCTAATAAGATGGGAAGTTCTTTAACCTGAGTTCCCATTACTCTTTCAGAGAAAAAGTTGTATTAGTGCCACTGGAGCTTAAGCCGTGCTGGGTTTTTAATGCTGTAAGTCTTCCTTTCGTAGAGTCTGCTTCCCCCACACTAGGTGTTCATAGTGCCGGAGGTACACACACAAGCAATTTCAGCACCGTTAGTGGAATCAGGGATCCTTGATTAGCTATGGATTAATACTGTTGGAAACAAGAATGGGGTTATAATATAATTGTAATCTTTTTATTACTTTTCCAATATATTTTTTATTGCTTTCTAACCATTCTGTAACTTTTCTGCATCTACTGACATTACCCTACGTAGTCCAGATTGCTATTGCATTGGCTAGCCCTTGATGTCTCTGAAAGTTTTCCCTTTCTAGACCAGCTCATCTTACCCAAAACCTGAGCAACTGCATGTCAGAGAGCCGTTAGGGCTTAAGAACCATGGCAGATGCTGAACATCTTCCTAGTGAGTTCAAATAATCACCCCTGCTTCGAATTCTATCATTTTAATAGCAGTATCTAGTTTTAGTTGCCCAGAGTTCTGGATTATATACCTGCTTCAACCCGTTTGTCAAAATTCTCTTGTAACATTCTCCTACTCTAGCTAGACCAGTCTTCTTCACTGTCTCTGCCTTTATTGTAGTATTCCTCTTCCAGTTATACCCACCCATCTCTGCTTCACCTGCTCTAACCTAATACTGAGCAGAAGGCCCAGGCACCAATTATTTTCTGAACCCATCCCTTTCAAATTGCAGATTAATTTTTCAAGTACACAAATTGCCCAACAAATACTCCAGAATTTTATGAGCCATATAACATGATATGAAAGTTGCACGTTCACTATGGGGAATATTTTGGGAGGTTGATTCAGAGGACGGTTTTTGCCTAGTACTTATGAGTAGAGTCCTTTCCATCTTGGAAAAAGGACTCCCCCTGTTTCAATCCTTGCAATGGAAATGCAGTAAGTTAGATTGTCCTTGGAAACACCTTGCCAGGTGTTAACGAGTTGTGGCTTTGCATAGATGCATAGAAAACTGGACCATGGTTCTAATTCTCTCTCTCTCTCTCTGAGACAGGGTTTCTCTGTAGCTTTGAGTTTGTCCTGGAACTAGCTCTTGTTAACCAGGCTGGCCTCAAACTCACGGAGATCCACCTACCTGTGCTGGAATTAAAGGTGTGTGCCACCACCGCCCAGTCCATGGTTCTACTTCTAAGAGTAAATTGTATAATATTGGAATTGTTATCTTGCTTTTATATGCTTCAAATCCCTGTTTAAAAAATGGAATTAATACAATCCATAGAGAGCTATTGTGAAGGTAGTTACACATTTACCCACACACACGGGGGGGTGGGGGGTGGGGAGGTAGAAGCGCGAGAGAGATTTGTCTTATTTAAGCCACAGCAGGTGTTTATAAAATTGTACCCACGATTAAAATTGACTGTGGATGCTTTAGTTTTTATGTAGTAACAACAGTAGCCTTTTATCATTGGAAGGATCTCAGCCTACTGTACAGTTTATTTGGGGCTCTGTCTGGCATAAAATTGCCTTCTTTGTTGGGAGGAGTGGAGATTTTCTTTTTCAGTACTAAGGATGGAATCCAGGACCTCATATATACAAGGTAAGAGCTCTACCATGCAGCAACACCTTCATCTCAAGTTTTATTTTTCATTTTGAGATGGTGTCCTAAGAGTCACCAGGGTGGCCTTGTAATTCATTTCCTAAGCTAGCCTTGTTTTTTATGGGAAAACATTATAATCATGTTCATGTGTCAACCCATGCAGGGTACATATATATGAGTGCAGGCTCCTCTGGAGGCCAATACACGGAACTGGATCTCCTGGATCTGGAGTCATAGGTGGCTGTGAACCTGCCTGACATATGTACAAGGAACCAAACTCAGGTCATCCATAAGAGGACCAAGAGCTCTTAATTACTGAGCCTTCTCCATTGGCCCTTAGTCTTGAGGGTTTGATCCTTCTGTCTTAGCCTCTTGGGTAGCTGTGGATGAGCTTGGATGAGCACTTCTTGAGAACAACTACCCCTACTCTACTCAACACAGGTGTCGGGACCTGTCTTCCTTGAGTCCAACAGACTCAGCTAGCAAATGCTCCATGTGTGACCTGCCCAAGCCCACCACCTTGTTTCTAGTACTTGTGAATATGTGATATTCTAAGTGATTCTTGCTCTGGGTTTTATTTATTTATTTATTTGATTGACTTGAGACCTTGTATACCATATTCAAACACTCCATCCCTGAGTTACACCACTAGTCCTTTAAATTGTTTTATTTTGAGGCAGTATTTTGCTGAGTTTTTCAAGCTAACCTCCAAATCACTTTATAACCCAGTGTCTCCTTTAACTTCTGATCCTTCCCCCTCAGTTTCCCAAATACCTGGGACTATAAGCACATACTTCCATTCTTCCCACCTAGTTCTATGATTCTAAAATGTCAGTGCCAATAAATAAATAAAGAAAAAAAAAATAAAATGTCAGTGCCTCAAAATTAAATGGTCAATTAGAACCATTCAGCACTAAATGTTCTGAACTTGTTTTATAAGTATTCTATTGCCACAGGCCTCATAAACTTTCAGTACAAGTTGAAACCCAATCATTTATTTTATAAAAAAAATACTAATCTACATGGGAAATTAAAAAAGACAAGATCTACTGAGTAAATTGGCAGCGTAGGAATCATGAGACAGGGCAGAAGGGGAGTGGGGAGGGAGGGAGGGGAGTGGAGAAAAATATATAGCTCAATAAAAGCAATAAAAAAAGAAATTAGTGCTATAGATGAGGAAGAACAAAGTGAGGAGAAAGGGTTTTTTTGAGATGCTAGGAGCTCCCTCCTCCTGGCTCTTTTCTAATAATTTGTCAGGTCTCTGAAGGTGAGTTTTCAAAAAAAAAAAAAACTCTTGAAACCATGAGCTCAGCACTGACAATTGAGGGTGTGCCAGAAAATTTTCTCAACAGCAAGGAAGCCATGGTTTAAGGATTCATTTTTTCATTTTTGATACCATCCTTAAGAATGACTGCAAGACTAGGTGGGATCTTTGCTTGTCTTATCACGTTCCCAATGTTAACTTCCATGGAATCCTCAAGCCAGACAGAAGACTCAGATGCCCTGTAGATGAACCATTTGCTTTTAAGTCACCTGCAGTTTGCTCTTACAGGACGGCTCATTATCCTGTTCCTATCTTCTACCCCCTATCTTAGAATGGTAGATCACCCAAGAAAACTCTAAAGCTCTTTCTGAACACAAATCCACTAGCAAGGAACACGGGCTCTTGTCTACCCTTTTCAGTTCAGTCATTGCATCAGCCAGTCACTGCTTTGTCCTTGAGTCATCGCGCCCAGAAATGAGGTTAATTAGCAGAGCTTTATTTCAAGTAATAAGTAAAATGATTGCCATGCTGGGGCAATAAGCAAGGTTCTACCATGAATACATTTGCACAATAACAATGATAAGAAAAGCCATGGTAAGACTATTAGGAAGTCCTGAGTAATGCTTTTGTGGTTGGGTTATGCACCACTGAGAAGACCTGGTCACTGAGCAGCACTGAGGGGCCATGGGCTGCAGGAAAGTACTGCTGTCTTTCTTACTCAGGGAGTGACCTCTTGTGGGGGGAAAGGAAGAGGCCTCAACATTATCACACACATCTATACTAAGGCAACCAACGGTGGACTGGATAGTCCTCAGAGGAAGAAAGTCTTGTGTAGATCTCTATTTTGGGCAAAATGATAGAACATAAAAATAAATGGACTCAAACTAAAACTTTGCCCATTAACTCTACAGGCTAACCCTGATAAAGCTAGCAAAACCCCTCTGTGTTTGTGCACAAGAGGTGAGACTATTCTTCATGCAAGCCAGCTGGATCTAAGAGCTTAAAGCTAGCCATCTGGTGTGGAAAGTCCTTCCGCTTATGTGTTGCTCTTATTGGTTAAAGAATAAAGCTGCTTTTGGCCAATAGCTTAACAGAATAAAGCCAGCCAGGAAATTTGAACAGAGATGTAGAGAGAGAGTAGGCAGGGTCAAAGGGAAGCCGTGTAGCCACTGCTGGAGACAGATGTGCAGGAACCTTGTCAGTAGACCACAAGCCTCATGGTAAAATATAAAGTAATGGAAATGGGTTAATTTAAGATATAAGAGTTACGGAAACAAAGGAAACCTCCACAGATACAAAAGAATATCAGTGTCCACCTGTGTCTTATCAGATCACCACGGATTAAAGTTAGAAGGCAACAACTATGCTACCCCCAGAAAGCCGGCAAACTCATGGAAACTGAACAGTCAACTACTGAACCACACCTGGGTCAAGGAAGAAATTAAGAAAGAAATTAAAGTATTCCTTGAATTTAATGAAAATAAAGAGACAACATACTCAAACCTATGGGACACGATGAAAGCAGTGCTAAGAGGAAAGTTCATAGCACTAAGTGCCCACTTAAAGAAAA